GGTACCACTAAGATCAGGACTTACATCCAAATTGTGAGGTTTTCATCTGCATTATCTTTACATACTGGGGCTTTTCATTTTTTAAGTAATTTCAATATTTAGCTTTTCTTAGCTTTACAGATTTACAAAAAAAGATTTACAAAATACCGAAGGCAAATATTTGGATATGCACATGGTGGGCATGTCGTGAGCAGAGCTGGCTGGAGCTGGGGATCAGACTAGGAGGCCCGGGAGGTCCCTTCTGACTCACTCTGTTTCTATGTTTCTTCTTGTATGATAGTCCAATGCCACCTCCCACAGAAAGAATGAAATTTTACAAAGATAAATGCAAAATTCTTCATTTAAGAAAAAAAATCAAATGCACTGCTATAAAATGGGAAATACTTGACTTGAAAACAGTACATATGAAAAGGATCTTGGAGTGGTGGTGGCTGCAATATAAGGCAACTAGACGTGTAAAACCAAAACATGCAGAGATCAACACACCATGTTTTAGAAGGAATCAGATAAATTGGAATGAGTTCAGAGGAGGGCAACAAATCTGACCGGGGACTAGAAATTAAGTCTTATTTAAAAACACTGAAGGATCAGGGTATGCTTAACCTTGAAAACAGAATCCTCTTGAGAGAGGATACAGTACTTTTTAAAGTACTGGATTGTCACACAGAAGAGGAATGCAACTTGTTCTCCATCATCCAAAATAATGAACTTCAGTCGCAACAAGATTTTGGCTAAATGCAAAAAGATGTTGGCTAAATGGCAGTAAAATAACTTCCTAATGGTCAAAGCAGTCAAGCAGTGGGACTGTTTGTGGCAGCCCACCAAGGGAGACTGTGGCACATTCAGCTGCCATTCAGAATATGCACTCCCTGAATTCAACTTGTCATGTGAACCCAGTGAGTATGATTATGTGAGGATTAAACAACCTTTACATAACCCATGGCTTGTTAGTCTTTAACCCTTGCACAAACCACCCAATAACCAGGTGCTAGCTAGCACCTTGGGGCACAATGACTCACTGTGGGTTAAATAACTCATGAAATGCCACTGGGTATTTTCTAAAATCAGTCAATGAAGCCAACTGTTTAGGGAGATGGTGGACTCTCAGACACGGGAGGCATTCAAGCAAACACTGGACAGCCATTTGGCAGGGATACTTTCAACTGCATTCCAGCACTAGGCAATGGTTTGGGTTCCAACTTTATGATTTAATGAACTGAGACCATTTTACAGGTTATTTTTGTATTGCCTTTCACTTATTAAGAGCATAGCATAAAAGAAAAGAAAGCAGTAAGCAGTGTTGCTTGATTTGCATGTATGTTAGTGAAATATAGGCAAACTCACTGAGACATGTGTTTTCAGGTGCCATTTTATACAAAAAAACAGCACCTGGAAAACAGATTTTCTGTTTTGGTACATCCCTAAATCACAACAATATTAATACAAAGAGTTTGAGGAAAACAATAGGGGGTGCAGTCTATCTTACAAAGCTGTCCCTTAACAGATAATACAACTTTACAAGTAAAATCCACTAAAAATGATTCTCTGCAGTGTTTATCTGTAAACATAATTAGATAATCTTACTAATGCTGGTATACAGAGCTTGGTTCTACCAGGAGTCTATTTCAAACTACCTAAACAGAAATGAAGCCTCTAGTTGAAGTTTTACATTTACCAGATTTACAGTAGTTCTTCTGTCAAAGACAATATTTTTTAATTGTGCATTATTTGACAGTAGGTGACAGCTGGCTGAAAACTAATCATAAGGTGGAATGTTGGAGCAGGCTGATGGAAGCTGAATTTGCATGCAAGGAATATACAAATCAGTTACTATTTCCAAAATAAAGTAACAACTCTATTTATTATTATAAGTCATCATTACTCTTCCTTTTATTTTTTTCAGTTTTGCATACAGTTTATACATCTTTAAAACAAATTAATTATGTGCACTGCTGATCTTCAGCCAATTTAACATGAAAAATAAATATCAAGATGATGTGTTTCCCCAAATTGGTACATATTATTACTACCACAGAAGTTACACAAATTTTAACATACAGTTCCCAGTTTAGAAAGCTTCACAGATTCACATTGTTTAACTTAAAATCTATATTCCAGATTGCTTTTTATAATTTAAAATGAAAAAACCAAATTGCAAATTGCTTAAGCTACAATGTATGCCTGTTGAACACAGCTTGATTTGCTTCTGGGTAAACATGCATAGAATTATACAATTCAAATTGTATTGCAAATCTCACTCTGTGGATTGGATCCTCAGACAGGTTATTTTTAAAACTTGTGAAAGGAAAGTTTTGAATGAAGACACTTTTTGCTGAAGAAGGGAAACTTTCCTGTTCACTCTTTTGCCACATGTACTCCATGGAGCTTTTCCTAATAGTTGTAGGGCACTCCTGGATTAGGTGGGGTGGTCCATGACTGAGGAAGGCTGCTGGAGGAGGGAGGTATCATCCAAAATCAGCACTGAATCCAATATGAATTAAGTTCAGAATGGGAAAGTTTTCCATCTCCATCTGGCCCTCCTGTGAGACCCATCTCACATTATTTTGGAAGTTCCTGACCTTCTGAAGAAGTTTTTAGGAGCACATGGGGGGAAGAGAGGACAGGAAGCATTTGTTTTATAAAGACCCTTAAGTTAACTTAAGATCAGAACCTATGAACCTGGGAAATTAAGAGTTTGTTCACTGAGACTGCTGTAGCCTCACAGAATTAAAAAGAAAAGTACTATTTAACATGTATGTGAGGGTTTAGTGTGTGTCACTTACATTATGTCAGTTAATTCCAATAACAGTCTTGTACTTTACATAACACATAGTTAAGCTACAGAATTTGCTGCTACACAATGTGGTGAACTTGGGTGACATAAAGAATTAGATAAATTCATGGAGAACAGGTCTATCAGTGGCTACTAGGTGCGGCTGCCACCTATTACTTATGTCCTGTTTGTGGGCTCCCCATAGGCAATTGGTTGTCCACTGTGGAACAGATGCTGGACTGGACAGGCCTTCCATCTGATCCAGCATGTTCTGCCTTATATATCTATCTATCATAAGACAGTACTGTTAGCTCTATACTGCAGATGAGAGCCTGAGGCTGACTGGGAGAATACTGTTTGCCTAAGGCCACTTATTGAGCTCAAGGCTGAAATGAGTTTTGAGCCAGGAACCTCCCTATCTGCATGCTTAATCATTACACCAGCAACCTCTATCAGACTAAAGTTTCAATCCTGTATTCACTTACCTAATGATTTAAAGGACTTACTACTAAGCTGATACACATATATAAGCTTGTGTAGTAAATTTTTGTTTGTGTTAAGGTCTTGCAAGTTTTAAAGCTACATAGACATAAATCTAATAAAAGATATCACTTCACCCATTTTGTATTTGACTAGAGATGATGAAATTATTTGGCTTCAAACCAAACACACACTTGAAGTAAATCCCATTTAAATTAATGTGCCAGAAGTCCAAGTAAACAATTTGGATGCTTTTTTCAGCACTCCTGCTTACTGTGGTGTCAGTCAGCCAGGAAGGTATCTTCCTGTATCTGAATCTTCATGCAGGCATGCAACCACTGAGATAAGGTCACCAAAACTAGTAATGGTGGCACGATACAGGTGTTCTGCAGGTGGAACTACTTCTGGAACAATCCACCATTTGTACTCCCTTACTAAGGGTCCAGTTTTAAACCTATGTACTGCTAGCAAAGACATGTCACTGCAGATTATTATTACAAGAGGTTTTGAAGAGGCTTCTTGTCCCCCTGAGAAGAAACACTTTGTCAAGATAAAGGGACTCTAAGTGGGATAACTTGCAACAATTTTACAGTATGAAATGTATGCTAACCTAACCTAAAGCTAATTAGAAATCGATTACTACCAAAAGAAAACAGAATCCTTAAATGTGAATGGGCCAGGGAAAACCATATCAAGAATAAAAAGTAATGCACAAATATATCACATGTGACACATATAAGGCCACTCTTCTATCGGAAAATAATGAGTTAAGATCGCCATCTGTTTTCATACATGTCCAAGATTAAAACCTTATTAACCAAAAGCAGGCTCTGTATTTCATTTTTTAAACTTTTAGTTATCCATAGTGATCAATATTAGAGTCACAGGCATGAACTCACACTTTATCATCACATATTAAGTAATTCAGACCAACAGTCACATGTGGTGCTGCATTCCAGAGTACCAAATATTTCAAATCAAATTTAAGTTCGAAATTGTCTACCCTAGAACTTATTGATGCTTGGGGTTAGCACCAATTACTAGCTTAGAGCTGAGTAGTTAAATATACATAAGAGGCCTTTGCTTGAGGGGAAGCAATGGGGGATTGGGAGTCTGGGGGAGGGGGAGTGGGGAGACCAAGAATGCCCAATCTTTCTGTTCCAGTCGGGTCTCTACAGTCATGGTTGGAACAATTGTCAAAGATTAAAATCGGAGAGGCACTTCCCAACAGCAATCTACTATGGACTGCATGGGAAATCTTGCTTAAGGTACTCATGTGTATTGTCCTGCCAAGTGATGAGGAATATGTCGCTAATCCAAGGAGTTCTCTAATTCCTGACTGGGGGCGGGAATCCTGCCTGCAACTTCGCAGGACAATACAGACGAGCAGCTTCGTGGTTATACACGCACACCGCGCTAAGTTATTACTTGTTGAATGCCTCTCTGAGGATCCAAGAACAGTGAAAAACTCAGGCATAAAAGAAGAAGGAGCGCGTGGGACGTTCGCCAGGGGGCAGCTGCCTCTTCGACGAAGCCGAGGCTCGCTCGCCTGGTCGCTCGCTCTTTCCCGCACCGGAGCAGGACGCGGGCAGCATGCGTGCGGCCGTCCGCCTGCCCCTTGCCCAGGGCCGGAGGAGCGCCAGTCCCACCGAGGCCGCCACCTGCGCGCCCCCAGCCCAGCACCTTCGCCTCCACGGCTACGGCGCGCCCTCTCTCTTTCGCCTCTGTAAAAACGGCTGGAGCTTACCTGGCCCGCTGTCGTCCCGAGGGGAGCCTCTCCTGCCGGCACCACCTTTGCCCTTCTTGACTTTGCGCTTCTTCTCGGGACCCTCCAGCGGCGAGGAAGAGGCGGCCGTGGCCGCCCCCCGCTCCGTGGCCGTGGCCCGCCGCGCCTCGCTCATGTCCAGCGCCGCTGCGCCCCGCATGCTCTCCGCCTCCAGCCCGCTCCGCTGCCCCGGCGCCCGCGAAGGCGCGCCTCCCCCGCGGCGTGGCAGGAGAGCGAGCGAAAAGTTTCGCCGCGCCTCCGCTGGCGCTGCCGCCGTCGCGCTGGGCTCGCCGCTGCTCGCCTCGCCGCGCCTCTCACAGCTGCCTGCGCCGCCCGCCGCTGCGCTCGCTCCGTGCTCCTGGCTCCATCTGCTGCAGGCTCCGAGAGAACTCGGGGCAGGGAGTTCCTGTCAGGTTCTTCCTTTTGCACCCCCACCTCCTCAGGGGGAGTGAGGGCGGGGAGGGGGCTCTCTCTGCCCGCCCCCCGCACCCACACGCGCGCACACGCACCGCTTGCCCGGGCCGGGAGGAGCCTCGGCGGCCCCGGGGGGCAGGAGGGTGTGGGAATGTGGGCGGCGGGGCGGAGCGGTGGCGGCGCCGGCCGCGAGCCGTTAGCCGAGGCAGCGAGAGCCCAACAGAGGTCGCCTCGCTGCGCCCGGCGGGCTGCGGCGAGGCGAAGCGCGGGACGCGCGGCAGGCGCGCGGGGGGCCGTGCCCGGGAAGCGACTCGCCCTGCGCGGGGCTTCTCAGCGTGCCCCTGCGCCCCCGGCGGGGACTGGGCTCCTCCAGAAGGCCCTCTCGTGAAAAGAATAGGCCACGAGAGTGGGCAGGAGCCAAATGAATGACGAGCTGCCTTGCCCCTGAGAAGTAGCCGAGGCTACCATGACCTCCGGGCCTAGTTCCTTCCCGGCTCTTCGCTGCCACTGCGAACTGCACGTGAAAGTGCACACGTGCAGAGTATGTTTGGGGGGGATGCAGGAGAGGGCTGAGCTCCTGCACCCCAATTGGGTGCAAAGAGGCGATTTCAACAGGCAGCATCAGTTGGTCAGGAAGCTGCCCCTCATCTGTAGTACTAGAATCACACTCTATCATCAAGTCACTCTTTTTAAGGGGAGACAAATATTCATACAGAAAATTAGCTATGGGAGGGAGAGTTTTGAGGCTGGTCATTCTGACACCTAGTTTTGTCTGTACCTTTTAATGGGGATGCCTCAAAGCATGTCCTCTACCTTCAGTCGTTCAGCTGAAATGCAAATTTAGCCAGTGAGGTCCAAGGTGAAAGAAGCCACCAAAAAGCTGCAGGTGGAGGACAGTTTTGGCCAATAGGAGTGTCACATCAGAGGTTATCTGGACTGGAATTGTAGCACCTGGGAAATAAACTACCTCCACACCATGTTTCTGAAGAAAGTATTCTGCAAGGCTACATTTGCCCAGTTTAGAGAAAACATGTACATAGGTTGTTCTCATTAAGGGAAAATTATGATTTTTTTTGGAAAGTGGTACAGTGTGTAAAAACACAAACTCTAAGCAGTAGTCCCATTTGAGACATACATTCGCTCATAGCTGTTATTGACCAACATTTAAAAAGCCACGAGAGACTGTTCCATTTATTTGGGCTCTGTAAATGAGATCTGAGAGGCATAGCTGCAATAGGTTAGAAGAACTGCACCTGATATCTCTTTTCTGTCAGTTCAGCAGTTCAGATGATTTGATTTAACACAAGGATCAATCAATAAGCAGAATTAGAGTAACAAGATTAAGCTTCCCAGTGTAAGTCAGGGAGTTGGTGTGATCTAACTCCAATAGTGAAATGGCTTTAGAATGTGAGCTTTGAATCAGAGAAATTTGTTTCAAATTTCAGTTCCTCACTCACAAATTCAGCTTGATAGTTTTTCAAAGGTTATTGTATTTGAGGTTTCTTTTTATAATAGAAGCATAACAGTACTTCCCACCCAACCTTACAGGTTTATTGTACAACACATAATGTGCTTAGGGGAACTGCTATTGTTAACTACTCTTCCAAGCTTAATGCAGCAAGTTTCGGTTCTACTTACCATTGATGATCTCTCCCTAACATGAAAATTTAGTAGAGAACTTCCTTTTCTGGCCCTAACCCATATTTTTTTAGTCTCAATATTATGATTTATGTGGTCATTCACACAGCACAGTACATAATCCTTATCTTGTTCTTACTTCTCAAAAAGGTACATTATCCATATTCTCTATTGCAATGTTCATTATATGTTATAAGACCTTCCCCTAGCTAACAATTCCATTTTAAATTCCTAGCCACTTAAGTCTAGATTTACTTTGTATTTTTTCTTTAACAGCTGATTTGAATATATATCAATGCCACCATACATTACTCACAATTCTGTATATATCTCTATCTGATGTCAGTGTGAGTTGATACTCTTAAAAGTGATATATTCTTAAGCATACAATGAACCAGGCCATGATGACAGCCAAAACAGGTTCCTTAACTCCCCCTTTATTTTAGTTTAATGTCTCATTAAAATGTAACATCTGTAAATGCTAACACTAATTAAAGAAGAATCATATGGATGGTAAGAATCTCCATTTTTAGATGTGCAAACACCTACTCACTTGTTGTCACAAATACAAATTGACAAGCATTGCTATTTTCTTTGTGGTCTTTCTGGAACCATATGATTTCATGGATCCAAAGAACCATAAATGACGACAATGATTGGGGGAAATGGCTGAATCCAAGAAAGGGTAATTTATGCACCTTTTGCAGTTGTGTGAACTCATTATCATTGTCTGCTTTCAAGGGCTTTTTACATACCTGTTTCTAATCCTGGTTAAGTAAATAGTGAAAAACTTTTAGCACTCGTTTAAAAAATTGACTTCTAGTAGGATACAGGCATAGTAAATGGGAAAATTCCCAAGCTCTGATGTTTTTCCCCAGAATAGAAGTGGCCAGTATTATTCATATCCAAATACATGTATTTGTTCCTGCAAATAGAAACAGTCATCAGGCTCATTTTTCTAGTAAATTAGGAGCAAATGATTCTGGATTAGGAAAGACTGTTTGCATCTGTACTAAACTGTTATGGGAGTGTGACCTTTACCAGGATCCTGACTCACAATCTGAAAGCTTGCTGCCTTAATACTTGTGTTTGCTGTATGTCTGGCACCTACAAAACTGGAGGATTATACTTAGTTTTACACTTCTTCTCTCTTACATCGAAGATACATGTTCACTTTGTTGATGAGGGCTCCAAGACGAGGCTGTGCTTTCTGGTCAGTGGTTAATACCTCTAGGATATCTTTGTGCCTCACAGCTGTAGTACAGGATGCACTAAAGAACTCTAGTGTATCCATTCCTTGCTATTTCTCACAGAATCATGTTAAATCCTAGCCTGGCAGAGAGCTAGATGTGTTGAAGGTCATTCCATCCATGATCTCCTCATTCTGAGGAGGTATTACTGCATCCAACATAGTGTGTGTATTTTCAACGCACATCCCTCTTAGGGTATGCAAGAGTGCTCCAATCTACAGTCTTAAGAATAACTTATTTGAGCAATATGACCTGTAAATGTTGTCATGTATTATAAACCGATTATGTGATTTTTTTTCTTAGCAGAACAGCAGTGTAAAATAAGTTAGCTGAGTTTACTTTGAAGGAATGTTTTATTCTTGTATAATACGTGATTTCTGAACTATAATAATTGTTAAAAAACTGTAGCCTATCCATATATTGTGCTGCTTGGTTAAACTTCTGAATTATTGGGAGATAAATATCTACAGTTGAAGCCCCATGCCTGCTAACTTGGGAGTAAGTTCCACTGCATACAGCGGGTCTTACTTCAAAACAGAAATTGACATGATTCTTCTGTAAGAGAATCAGGATGCCAAGACAAATCAGCACTAGATAAATCTGAGCCACTTTCACCATCTTCAAGATCAGATCCTTGTTTCTTATCCTGGTTTGTAGTATGAGATTAAAGCACGGTTTCCTAAGCCTGGTTGAACAAACTCCATAAATTTCCATAAAGCAAGGGAGAAGGGATGTGAAAGAGGGAAAATTGATCCAACAAACCATAATTTGTTAGACCAAAATAATTATGCCTGAACTGTGTGTATAAGATGTTTATGAAATGGTAGTAAAGCAGGAGTGAAAAGAAAGAAGAATAAGAGAGTAAGTGATTTGGTTATTTTTTCTCTTCTCTAGTTGGGGATTGCCAGAAACATTGGATTAATTAAGATGTTTGGGTCTTCTCTGTATGCAACACATTCATTGTTATATCACATGGCCAAAGATTTCATATGAGCCATGGAATTACATTTCTTCCACATTTTTGATTGGGCCTTTGTCTTAAAAGTTGAAGCATTACATTATAGCTTCATGGAAGAGATGCTCATGTAGCCAATATCAGGTGAGCAGAAGATAGACTGTGGTATATCAATGAATCACCAGCCAATTTGTAGTGGACCTGTTATTTGCTCTGATTGTTTTTGAAGAATGGCAGAGTGAGTATATATAAAACAATTCTTATATCCTTAAAAATGTATCCTAAGAATCGCTTAATATACTTTTTTTCTGATTTTCCAAAAGTATGTTGCTTTCAGTGGATCATAGAGATTTTACTTTTTGTTTTTGCTTTTTTAAGATTATGCAAAACTGAAGCCAGACTACCCTGGCCTACACTTAAGAACGAAGCAAGATCTGAAGCACAGAAACATTTGGGATCTATATATTCTAAAATGCAGGTGGAAGTAAATCAAAATAGCCCAAGCTTTTAGACACCAGGACATCCGGGGTCAGACTCATGGTATTCTGATACATACATTGCTGGTAGAACAGAACAGAAAGGGCAAGCTATGATAAATGGCTAAATCAGGGGAAAGCTGGAGGCAACAAGAATTTAGGACAATGGAAAGAGGTGAAGTAGCTTACAAATATAAACATTAACATACAAGTGGTGGGGCACAGGCATGTGCATAAATTCCAAGTCTGTTTTTTAGGTTCCTATTTAAATCATTGTTTCCTTTAAAATATACGTGTACACTTTTCCTAACCAATGCAAGATTGTGTTATGTACTCTGTTAACAGTACCTGATTAAAAATTTCTCAGAAAGCTCATTCTTAGTTTTGGAATGGTGCTGCAGCTGGAAAGGTTGCTATTACCTATCATCTGTTGATTAAGACTAAAATTAGTTTCTAAAGGACTCTTAAAATACTTTGTGTACTTGTTATGTTTCTTCAGGAAAAAAAATATCTCGAAGCCACATCATGGTGTAGACATGTATAGAAACTGAAGGGTGAGGCGCTAAATTAGTTTAGCAGGCTTAAATTAATATGAATTCCTTAATATTAATCAACAATAGTTGAACACCAAATACAGATATGCAAGACCACAGTATCTCATTCAGAGTTCTGTAGTCACCAAAAATGCAACAATTATTTACATGTTGAGGAGGGAGAGCAGCCACCACAATAGACTCAGAGTAGAGGCCATCTTGTGAA